CTGAAAGAATTATTAACGGAAGGAGTTAAAGATTCTGTGAACTGGATTATCAGGGCATCTTACTCTTGACTTTTCCCTTCTTCTTCATGAACAATTCCTGCTCCCCTTTTCCCCAGTTCGATACATATTCAAACACTTTCATGGATTCTCTCACTACACAAGCCCTTGCCTTCCCTATTTCTTAGGTCAAGCTAAAGGGTGGTTTTCCACCATGAATCAGATTGAGTGTCATGCCTTGACTGCTGAAGTTAGGCTGTGTAGGCAAGACAGAAACGAGCAGGTTGTGGTATGCAGAAATGGGACGCATGGGTTTCGCTTTATTTATGGAGTCAAACTTGATTCGTTGATGAAAACGAGCCCTATCCAAGCTATTTTCTGATCCCTACATTGTAGTCAGATCATTTCTCGGAAGATACGGGAGCCTCCTTTCCCTTTGATATTGTTGCTATCACGGGACGATCAGGGGTAGCACTTGACAAGAAAGGCTTAAGATTTCAAATGGCAAACAACAGCGAAGGTAAGATTTTCTAGTTTAGGGCTTTCTCATCAATGCTGCACTGTTCTCCATCTGAACCGTTGACTATGATCTTCACAGGTCTGAGTAACTTAATGCCTCCTTTCCAGGATGACTGCAGCAGCTGTAGTTCAGCCATTAGAATTAGTGAAGAATAGAATGCAACTTGCCGGCAAAGGCGGTAGGCACTCTTCCAGCCCATTTCTCGATTGCTCTTCATTTATTCAAAGCTTATCCGAGATTTCTATCAAAGATTCTTACCTCTTTTATAAGGAAATCCTGGATCATAGGCTATTTGGTTTTACGTTTCCCACAAAGCCAGAGACAGTTAGTTTATGTACGTATGCCTGAATTGATATCAAAATGATTGACGAAAAGCATAGGGTACTCACAAATATCCAAAATTGAAGAAAATTAGGTAGAAGGAACGATAGAAGATAATACTGGGGCAGAATATTCATCCAAGGAGATATCGCGGGGAAGGAATGAAGAAAACGTAGAAGAACGACTCAGCTAAGAGGGTCGAGGCAGAAGCTGGCAGGATTGTATCGATGTAGAAAAGAAGGGTGGGATAATTTCAAGGGGGTGGTACAGGCCAGCTATTCAGTAGTGTTCATGAAAATATTGCAAAAATGCATAAGGACTGGGCTCAAGAACTAGGGGCAGCTCTTTTGGAGGGCCACTAGGAAGCTTAAAGGCGGAGTTCACGATGATTTTGGGTAGTCCAGATCATGATGAAAAATGAAAGACAATATCGGAAATAGTGCGATGAATGTGAAGAAACTGCGTGGATCGGTGTTTCCGAAGTGAAAAAAGGCTTCGAAAAGTCGATAAAAAGGGGGTTGGACGAGAATGTGACCAAAAGAATGAAGGAGAGTGGGGCGTTTGGACGACCTACGCACGGCGCGTCATTGCGTACGTGTGGGTCCTGGTGCAAATATCTGACGACGGAAGCAGAAATTGATACGCTTATAAGCATAAGTAGACAAAAAACCCTAGTTACAGCAAAAATGCTCACCTTTTCCAGCCTCTTGGAGTAGGAAATCAAATAGGGATCGCGACAGCAAAAAGAATAACATTTGCAATCTCGAGGGGGTTGACACTCCAGTTAGGGATTGATACACAATTTCAGGGGGAAAGAAGTTCAAATCAAGCTTCCATGCTATTTCGCATGTCGTCAAAAACGAAGGCATATTGGCGTTCTACAATGGATTGAGTGCTGGTCTGCTAAGGCAGGCAACGTACACTACGACCAGACTTGGAATTTACACCTGGATGCTTGAAACGTTTACTCAGTAAGTGAAGTACCTCACGTGTAGAAGAACCTGCAGTTGCCACAGATTTGCTGCGTTAATGGGTAACGCGTTCGGGTCAGAAGGATTCCGAAATCACCTTGAGTTGAAATAGGAAATTTCCAATAAGAGAATCAACCATTCACAAATACCTGGAGCCTATGAAAGTTGATCTCAGGGGGAAGCGCCCATGATTTCCCTATGCTTTCTGTCAGATTAAGAAAAATAATTTTGTCCAACGATAGGTGACAGGAATTTATGACCAAAAGCGGTATTGAAAAAGGTGTAGCTGAAAAACAAAAATTAGCTGAGTGGTAGAATCAGGAGACACCTTCACTTCTCGAAAGAAAAGCCTATGTGCACATGTTTATAAGAAGCCCGAGTCATTTGCGTAGCCCTCTGGTAACCAGTAAACCTAGGATGAATTAACCTTGGCTCACCACTACGTGCCGCTTTGGGGTGAGGGATGAACCGACAAAATTTAGGGCATGGTTATGTTAAGGCTTTAAGAATTAGTATATTAGCCATTAGGACGAGAATGAAGTGGTTCGTTTAAAGGAAAGATCAACCGTTGTCATTTCCTATGAAAGCAACACTAGGAATGGGAGCAGGTGCTTGTGGAGCATTGGTGGGGACGCCAGCAGATTTGGCTCTCATTCGTATGACAGGTATGGCTATCATTAATTCACATGAAGATTGGAATACAGTTCTTGAAATTCTGCCGCTCAAATACGAAAACGATCACTGAAAAAAGTAGAAGCTTTTTCCGTAGGCTGAGTTGGGATTGTAGCATATCCTTTAGTCTTGTCCTATTCTATCCAGAATTTCTCTTCACATTCACTATAAACCTTGGAAAAAAATAATCAGTTAGAACAGGCGGCTAAAGATGAGGCTGGTTTTGCAGATCACCTACAGGAATTTCAGCGTCAGAAAAGCAATAATAGAACCACTATAAGCAAAAATGGCCTAAAGAGGATCTAATTAGGACTTGTAATAGTTAAAGGATCTTTTCAAGTCAAAGGTGCCCTCGAATCGTGTCAAACAGCCCCAAAAAGCAACACGACGAGGTGGACAGTATACTTAACGTAGGGGTACTGCAATCGCTTCGTCCAACCCTGCCTCAAGTGCCGGCAGCGAAAAAAATTTCGACTGAACAGCTTTCCATGGCTACTTCTTCGGATAAGGCTGAAATTAAGATATATAATGAAGCTTATTACATTTCATCACTACGTGCTCCTTCACAGGCGATGGACATTTGCCACCAGAGCAACGTCGAAACTACAAGAACGTATTCGATGCCCTGATCCGTGTTATAAGAGAAGAAGGATTTTTCACCCTTTTCCGGGTAACTCTTTGATTTTTCATTTCCAACGATTTTGTGAAGTAAATGCAAAGCAGCAGTCACTTCAAGGGATGCACCCCTACTGTGGTTCGTGCAATGGTAGTCAATGCAGCACAACTGGCCACTTACTCTCAAGCCAAACAGATGATCCTCGCAACAAAGAAAATTCAGGACGGTAAGCCATTGTAAGCCCATTCAGTTCAAGTGGGAGAGAGTTGTGCAATGTTAAGAGGCTCACAGTTACATGCGTGGTCCGGGAAGCGAATCTCAGCTCGATGCTGTTCCATTGCTAACCAAGTCTTCCATGCTTCCCGGCTTCGCTAATTGGTATCGGAGTCGACTGAGATGAAATCAGGGACTTTAACGCCAGCTTGCCACCACAAATCGCTCTATAGGCCACATGCGCATCCAGTACGGTTTTAGGATCCTAAAAGGAAATCGAATGCGGTGCAAACCGGAATTGGGGTTTATACATGTCAGAGACTACACACCTATCCATTGCTCTCGCAGTTGTCTTTACCTAGATAGCGTGGGACGGGCGAGGGACTGGTAATGAAAAGGGTGGTGTGAAGGGGTCGAAGAGGTCTCTTGATGAGGTCCAGAGGTGGTAATCCCGTACTTTCAGGTATATTTTGCCACTTCTGTGCTTCGATGCTTAGCGGTCTCGCAACTACCATAGCATCTATGCCTGTTGACATCTTGAAAACACGGTCCGTCTATTCTGTTGTAATTATTTTCACTTTCCAAAACTCGAACTTAAACAAGTGTTTTTCGTCTAGAATTCAAGCAATGAAGATCATTGATGGAGTACCGGAATATTCTGGCATAATCGACGTATTGATAAAGGTTGGATTCACATTCGCAATGTCCACAATTCACCGAAATGGCTCTATATTTGGTTTCAGATATTAAAGAAAGAAGGAGTGTTTGCTTTTTGGAAGGGGTTCACTCCTTATTACATGAGGCTTGGACCCCATACTGTGCTCACCTTCATCTTCTTGGAGCAATTTAATCGCGCTTATATCCGAGCTTTCCATCCAGAATCCACACCACAGCCACAGAAGCCTAATCAGCCAGAGAAGCCCAAATGAAATACGCTAGTTTTGTTTGATAAATGCCGATAGTTTGTAATAAACACTGCTTCAATCAATTAGTCATACCATCCT